CTCATCTCAATGTAAACTCATCCTTTTCATTTCAATTTTTAGTCACGCGTTTGTTCTGTAAAACTTCGCAGCGCAGCACGTCTATCAATGTACAACCAACTAGCCCAAACCGCTCAGAGCTATCATACAAAATAGTACCTGAATACAAAATTATAGACGAGAACATTGAGTGTATTTCGATCCAATGCTGTGATATTTTGTTTGCTCTCTTGTACCGCCCTCCGTCTGGATCCGTAAATGACTTTCTGCATTTCTCAGAAACGCTGCTTGAACACAGCATAGAACTAAAGTTACAGGTGGTTCTCCTTGGTGATCTTAACATAAATGCTTCCGCTGACAACGTTTCATATTTGCGCTTTCAAGATATATTTGAATCTTATGGTTGCACAAACACAATAGCTGAACCAACTAGAATCACCTCGACTTCCGAGACAACCCTTGACCTCTGCATTACAAATCTTCCTACTGAGAATTTGAAATCAGGTGTATTAACGTGCGATATCAGTGATCATTTGCCAATATACTGTCTAATGCCTGTTAACCAGCTGCGCACGAATAACGAAAAAAAACTGGTTAGAGAGTATTCGGAACGAAATATTCAATATTTCAAAGATCTTATTTCCTGCCTAGATTGGGATCGTGTTTTGAGAGAAAATGATGCAAACACAGCCTATGACGTTTTTTTATCCTGCTTTCTGTCCGCGTATAACACCTCTTTTCCCCTAAAGACACGAAAAAAACATAAGAAAACTCGAAAACTATGGATATCTCATGAATTATATGCAAGAATTAAAAACCGCAATAAGCTATTTCGAATATTTCTAAAAACGAGAAGCGAAATTGACCTTTGCATATTTAAGAAAGTCCGAAATAAACTAAACTCTGATATTAAAAAAGCAAAATACGAATATTATATGAACAAATTTTCAGAGGTTATGGGAGATCCCCGGATGATATGGCAAACAGTAAACGAGATCATTTCTAAAAATACCTCGGCAAGAAAAGTTCAATATTACAATGAGGCGCTGACGGATAAACAAATAGCAAATTTGTTCAATGTTCATTTTGTGACTGTTGGTGCTCCTTTAAATAACTGTGCAGAAATACCATGCGAGCAGTTCATTTCGGCAAACTGTGTTAATTCCCTCTTTCTATATCCAGCAGACCAGTGTGGAATAATGGAGTTAATTCTAGCATTAAAAAATGATTGCGCCTCCGTGCCAGACGACATTAAACCAAAACCGTTAAAAGCCGTTCGCGACAGAATCAGTATTCCACTCGCGCACGTTTGTAACCTCATGTTATCTACGGGTGTCTTTCCAGACAAAATGAAGCATACACGTGTGACGGGTATACACAAAGGTGGCCCAGTTAGTGACTTAAAGAACTATAGACCTATTTCTGTACTTTCAGTTTTTGCAAAGATAGCCGAACATATTATAAATAAAAGACTTGTTAAGTTTTTGACCTTCAATAACATTTTAGTAAAAGAACAATTTGGTTTTCAGAAAAATAAATCGCCAGAAGTTGCACTTCTTGGAATTAAAGAACAAATTCTCGAGAACATAGAACAAAAAATATACACGCTTGGTATATTTCTAGATCTTAAGAAGGCTTTTGATTGCGTTCAGCATGAAATACTTTTACAGAAACTTCCGTTCTGCGGAATACGCGGTATTTCCTTATCACTGATTAAAAGTTACCTCACCACAAGAACGCAATATACAATAGTAAATGGAGTAAAGTCAGACGTTCAGTACATAAAGTATGGGGTTCCTCAGGGGTCTATTCTTGGTCCTATATTATTTTTGTTATATATTAATGACATTGTAAACATACATGGCAGCTCAAACATAGTCCTATATGCAGATGACACAAATATTTTCTTTTCTGGCTCGGACATCGACGACATCTTTGGAAAGGCAAAACAGTGGTTGCGGGGATTAGACTTATGGCTTAGATCTAATAAACTTTATTTAAACATAGAAAAAACAAAGTACTTACTGTTTAGACCAAAAGGAACGATACCACCTTCCAATTTGCAATTAAAATTCCAGGACTCTTATATTCAACCATCTTCAACCATTCGATTTTTGGGGGTTTTATTCCATGAAAATCTATCATGGACGCCACATATTGATTCTTTGAGAACAAGTCTTTGTCGAGCTGTTGGTGTCTTAAATAGATTAAGATATTATCTTCCAACAAAAGTGAAACGTCAAATTTATTTCGCTCTTGTGCAATCCCGCATAAGTTACTGCCTTTTAGTATGGTCAACGACATCCCAAACATATCTAGACAATATTGTATCCATACAAAAGCGAGCATTGCGAGCAATTGGTAACATACAACTTCTTAAAAGTGCCACAACTTATTTTAGGACATATCAAATACTCAACGTAAGAAATCTACATCAATATAAACTATCACTTGAAATTTGGCGGCAATTTCAGCTCGATAAATTGGTGTTCTATGCTAAGTACCACGCGAAAGATAGCCCGTATAATTTAAGGCGTCATTTATTAATAAAATCGCGTTCGCGAACGAATTATGGAGACCAGAGGTTGAGTTTTTTGATACCAGACTATTTAAACCAATACCCATATATTTTAGCTTCATTGGAGTGCGTGCGATCACTCTATCAATATAAAAATATTGTAAAAGAATACTTACTCACAGGGGAATAAAACCGTATGTGTTTTAAGCAAAATGCTTGGAATGATAAGTAGCAATTGTCCTTTCACGTCATATTTTGTGATGTATTTGTTTTGTTTTGTATAGATTTTTAGTTTGGAGTGAAATTGTGTCATTCTTCATTTATTTGTTTTTGCTACCGTTGCTGCCAAAAGGGTGGCATGGCCCCGTCAGGCATTTATGCCTTTTGCCATGTCACCTGGGACATCTCTGTACAGTTATGTCTTAAATAAAAAGTTATCAATCAATCAATCGAAAACCCAAGTCCAAGATATTTCAAAAATAATTTGAAAACAATCGGTTTGATAACGCGAAAACTTGGAAGTTAGCCAATCGGGTTCGAGCGGGTACGAAACGTCTTTCGACTAATGACATGACATATATGTCATTTCCCCCTTTTTCGCAAAAAAAAAATATTCATAACTTTAACACTTTTTTGCTCGTATCTCCGGAACAAACCAGAATAGTCACGACGCAACAAATGTTACACTGAGTGGGCTTAATGAGGCTTCAGCATTTAGTTATTCCCTTGATATCTGAAGGTAAGTACGTGTTTATCTATGTTCATTAAAAGAAAGAAAATCACTGGGCCTCGAGAAAATACGCCTACGTAAGATGCCAAGAAACTATCATAGAAACGTACTTCTAGACGTGCTGAATAATGTCATTAAGACAGGAAATTGTTCAGCCGGAATGAAAACAGAGGTTGTGAAACCGCTGTATAAAGGAGGTTCAGCGAGAGATTATGAAAAAAAATTATCGCCTAATATCTGTACGGTCGCGTACTGCAAACTTACTAGAAAAACACTTGTTAAAGGTAATGAGCAGTTTTTTTTTTCAGATTGCTTTGACCTATTATCTAATCACCTGTACTGTTTCGGTTCGACTTATCCTCAAGATTTGTTAAAAAAGTTTGCCGGCGCCGGTTTTGATGATATTTTTCTACGCCTGTGCAGTGTTCCTGGATGCGTCAGAAGCTTTCAATAGCATAAATCACGAAATACTGTGTTCAAAATGAACAAACTTCACTTGAGGGGTCCATCCTTTTTGCTTTTAAAAGGGCGCCTCTCAGGACTTTCCCAAGCCGTGTCTTTTAAAATAGCAAAAGTCTTAGATCTTCTCTGACTGCAGGGGTGCCGCAAGGGTCAGTTCTGTCTCCCTTTCTGTTTAGCCTTTTTGAAATGATCTTCCTAGTTCTATCTCAGAATATAAAATATAACAATACGCAAACGACACGGTTTTGATGTCATGGCCCGCGTTCAAAAACTTCAAAAATATCGTTATTTACACAATGGACTGGTTCTATGCTACTTAATTTAAGTTAATCCTTCAACGACAAAACTTGTTTCCTTTGGGCACCCGCTCAAGCAGGTGGATCTATAAGTATTGTAGCGCTGTCTACTTCCACCTGTAGTTCCTGTGGCTGCGAACCTCTTCAGTATGTGAAATCGGTAAAATACCTGTGTATTTTACCCACTACTTCGACAGTGACTTGTCATGGTGCACTCATATGACGTATTTATGTAAAAAAAGTAAGAAGCGTATCATATCGTCATTACAATGTCAAACTACTCCTGCCCTTCTGTGAGAAAAGCGATAACAGAAGCCTTGGCATATAGCTACCTATGGTATGGTATAACCATTTTTTCAGCCTGTTCCGTTCTTTAGCGCGACAGACCAAATTTTTTATTGAAATGTATTTTGAAAAGCATATTTATGTATATTTCGCAAACTTCAACTCAAGCCTTTCGAGGGACGCTTAGAAAAAAGCAGTCGTCCCACTGCACTTCTGGTATTCTGTGTTTTAACCGGCATATCTACAGCAGCGACCATTGAGACCATCACGTCGTTTCGAAGTACTGCCCATCAGAAGAAGGTATGCTGAGAGTACGCGAATGCATTATGTACCACGTGTTTTCAACCACCTACCAGAGTTATTGCTCTCTAAAACATATAAATAGAAACTCACAAAAAGCACTGCGAAACTTAGAACAGTGAGATGGCCTTTTCTGTTACATTGTGTTAAGATGTATATAATACATTGTTGTTGTTATTTTTTTTTTTGCTCTTGTCAAAACAGTTTAGTTTGTCTGAAGCATGTTTTCGAGGCTAAATAGATATACTCACCTTTCAATTATAGCATTACTTCTGCACCTGCCGAGCTAGGTACATATGCTCTGAGGTTTATGCCGGCTCGCTAGTTGAATTTTGGGCATCGTTACTCATGAAAAGAAAGCTATGTTCTATGTTCTCTGTTCTACCGAAACAACATCAAACTGTGGCGGGTTTAAACACATAGTACTTACATAACTCCGGCTTCCGTGTCGTCAATAGGCGGAACCTGGTTTGTCACGCAGTCTTGTACCTTTACCTCCATGTCACTGATCAGGACTGGAAGACAAGTGCGAAGCATAAGGTTAGAAGACAAAAATTACAAGATCGAAGTTTTTTGCTTTCGTGTTCTACAGTCTCAGTATCTTTCTTTTTACTTCTGGCCATTCTTAAAGATTATTATATACGCTAGAGGCACAGGAAATGAAGAATATAGCAGGATTGCGAGCAGGTAAAACAGAGACCAGACATGAACAAATTACTCAAAAAAGTTAGTTAAGTTACTGAGTATTGACGCCAAAAGTAATTGGAGTAGAGAAGAAATTACGCATTTGCAATAATAATTGAGTAAACTAATAACTACTGTAAAAAGGTAGCGAGTTACATTGAAGTTACTTTCGAAGTTACTTTTTATATTTTTCTGGTAGCAAAATGAACAGCAGTTTTGGTCCGTGAAAAACCCTGCGAGCCTAAAATAAATGCAGTCATTTTATGGCTTCCAAAATAGTTTATTCGCTCCCAGAAGCAATTGTCTTTCAAAGTTCTTATCAGAGAGTTTTCCCCTTTTCCTTCTAATGACGTCCCCAGCCAAGCTAAAAAGACGTTCCACCGTGGCGCTGGATGCAAAGGCAGCGTTCGATTTCTGAAACAGGCTGTGGAGGGTCGGGTAAGCGAGTGTCGGCAACTTTGGTGCCCACGACGAAACATGTGAGGCTTGCCTCGGCTACTGGGTCTTTTATATCAAACTCTCATCCTTTTTTTTTTATTTTTTCTTCGGCAAGTTGGGATTGTGATGACTGGCCCCCCCTTATTCTCACGACGTTCGTAGAGTACGTCGAGCGAGTGCACCTGACCGTCAACGGATCAAGTCTCGCGCCACGACGATGAGATTATCCGGACTGCGCGTCTCGTTGCAGTGCTAGTGCTACGCCTCTCTCAAAAAAAAAAAAGAAAAAAGAAAACGATTGCTTTGGTTCAAAAGAAAATGAAACGAAGTATAATTCGCCACTGACACCGGGTTCAACAAAAGGATCTTCCAAGGGTGACTCGCAATCCTCGCCGGCGACAACGCGGTATCCTGACGCGCCTGACACGCCTGAGAAGTAAAACGTTTTCAACAAAGAGGAGGTCTCCCTGGCGTGGAAGGTCGTAAGGACACGAAGGATTGCTTGAACGAGCATCGGCGCTCGTGCAGTTGCAGCTGAAAACGGGAACCTGTTCCCATGAACGGATTATTCGTGTCTAAGTTCGTGTGCGGGGGAGTCCGGCTTTGCAAGGGAGTAAGCGCTGACGACGAGGCGACCATGGGAACAGGCGCCCAGCTGCGAGGTCATTCCACTGCCGCCTGCCGCGGAACCTACTACTTGAGTCAGAACTCACTAAAGGCAGACGACATGAAAACAACAACAACGCTCGGAGTGTCCCCGCCTTTTACGGTTGCAGCTGGCGCCTGCGTACATTACCAGATTAGGTCAATATCCGACCGAGGCTTGGTAAGCACCTGTGCCGGCGTTCGTGCGCGCCGGTGTTATGTTTTGGCTGCTCGTCGCCACCTTGGCCGAAGGACGTCTGTAATGCAGTTTCTACGGCTGGGTACGGAATCTGAGGGGGCCCCTAGTTCGGGAATACCACTTTATCTGCCAGCGTCTTATTTATTTCTGCGCTCGATCTCTTGTGATGAGAAAATCTAGAATTAGGTTTCGAAAGTAGTTAGTAATTCGAGTAGACGTTACGTGAAAAATGTAGTTAAATTAAACTACTAATTACCAAAATAAAGTTGTAATTGAAAGTTACCAAGTTACTCGGAAAAGTAGTTAAACTACAGTAGTTTGAGTAGAGTAGGTGAACTACGTCCAAGTCTGACACAGACGAACCTAGAGAGGCCACGACCTGTGTAAAGCAAGCCATAAGTAAACCCTGCTGGGTCGCAGGCAAATGTCCAAGTATGAGCGGTTCCTGTTTGTACAGGACTCGCAAGTATGCGAGTTGTGAGCAAACAGGAACCTTTCTAGAATGATCACAAAGCAAAGAGACCTAGGATGGCTCCATAAGATAGGTGGGTTTATTCACTCCTGTTTTGTTGTGAAAGACAGGGTGGAAGAATTTCAGTCTTAGTTTTTTACTTCCAGATTCGAATGTTTCCCATCCCAGCCTAGCTTTCATATCTGTAACACTAGCATAAAGGTCATTGTTGTTCAGTACAAAACGTGCGGCTTGATTTAGATTTTTTTCTAGTTTATTGATAAGGAAGTCGGAATCAGGGTCCTACACAACGCACTCGTAATCAAGGATCGTTCTTATTAAAGAAACATAAAGTGTTTCTTTAACGTTTCGTGAAGCGGATCTAAAATTTCGGCGGATAAAATAAACAATTTTACGAGCCTTTTCGATTGTACGTTCTAAATGGCTGTTCTATATATAGGGAATCCGCAAATAGCACTCCTAGGTAAACATACTCGAAAAGAGTACATAAAATGGTCCCGTTAATTAGGAAGCTTTGAGAATCGCGCAACTTACTTCTTATGAAAGGAATATGTTTGCATTTACTTAAATTTAGGCTCATTTTCTATTGCTTGCACCAAGAAGATAAAATGTTTATGTCGGTATGTAATATGACAGGGTCGCCTGAATTCTTTATTTCCCTGTATAATACGCAGTAATCGGCGAACAGTTTAATATGAGGCTTCATATTTTCGGTGTTGTCATTTATGTTTTGAGAAAAAGTAAAGGCCCTGAGACACCCTCTTGTGGCACACCCGACGTAACCCGAGTTGATGTAGATATAGTACCGCAATATTTAAAGCACTCGATGCATTGAGTGGGGAGAACTCGACCACAAGTTTAAAAAAAAAAATCAGCGTTATACACAAATGTCCTAAGTAAACGCACTTTACTCGAGGTTTAAATTGTGGCAACCACAAAACGAGCAAATATTTATGCGAAATATTTTACCCTTATAGAAGAGGTGGCGTCCGCTGTAAATGTATTTTGTTGTGAAAAACCAGAGCAAATTGATTTGCCTGGACGAGCGGTTTAACGTATAATGACGTTTTGTCGATATGCACGCAAAAACAGAAATACGAGACTAGCTGGCTTACTGAAAAAAAAAATACATCACAAAGCCAACACAAACTTCAGAAGGGAAAAACTTGTGCCACCATCACTCCTCTTCAAGTAACGGGCATAGAGCGCAATCCCATTGATGTTAACAAACCTCCTATCGGTCTTTTAGAACAACGTAGGACATATTTTAATCAAGATATAGACATTTTTTCTCTTTAGTTACGTTTAGAAAACGTAGAATTGGCGCAATTCATTTCATACCAAAAGTGAAGTCGCACAAAATAAACTATTTTAGTTTGTATTTTTAGAACAAACAAAAAGCCGAAAATCGTAACCAACGCCATTACGGTGGGCATCAAAACACAGCATTAAAATTTGTCCTGGATTAAAAAAAAATGTTTAGTTATATTTGGCCTTACAAATTAAATTGCCAATTACTTTTTTTGGGTGCCTAAAGGTGTTCGATTTTTCAGGTGAAATGTATCTAAGATGGAGAGAACCTATCTAAGTATAAATGCTATTCATGCCGTCTTTCTTGCAGTAAATATTAACGCTGTCGGATAAGTGTACGCCTTCCTGAATCTCAAACCATTAAGAACCGTATAATCAAAGCCAATGAGAGACTAGATTTAAAGCGGTACTCTACACTTTAGTATTCAAAGTTATTTTATCGTCTTTTCCTTTCTCAGTCGTGTGCCTACCACGCGCTCTAGCGATGGCATAAGAACATAAAAGAAATTGCAAGACGTTAAAAAAAAAATCTGGTTGCTTCGAAGCGTTATGTTCATCTCGAATCATTGAGGTTGCAACATACCGGAATATAAACTTCTTAGGAGTGCGCTTATATTGGATTCACCACGCTTTCGAATGGCACGAAGTAGTCGCACCACTCATTCGCAGTTTTATTGCATACTGGATTGAGTTTCAGAACTTTCGTGTTGCATCACAAATTTAACAAATTCCAACATCTAAATTTCTCAGTCACCCAAAAACACTTTTTTTTATATAATCCATCGAGTTTAAAATTTTGTTTTCGAATCAGCTCGTTCCAAAATAATAAACTTTTAGAGAATAAAAGTAACCTTTAATAACAATGGTGTTTCACCAGCCTTTGTGAATGTTATTAATATTTGTTAAAAACGAGAATTAAAAAAAAAATGATTCACTCGAAATGAAGTTTTTAACCTCGGCACACGTCAAGGTATGATTGAAGAAAAGTATGTAGACACTATTTACCTAAACTGTACTAATACTTTTTTTTTTAATATTCTTCTCATAGGAAACTTTCCAATGTGGGGTTTGCTTCCCGCTGTCAATGGAAAGAAGTCGTAAAACTAAAATCTCCCCCCGCGCTAATAATATAGGGGGGCACTTTATGTCACGTGTGCTTTAGGGAGAATCGCGGTTGTTAGCCATATCCATTCCACATGCTAAAACAGCGCAAAGAACACGGAGGAAGAGAAAAGGACAGGCAGAACGAAAGAACGCTGACCCCCAACTAATTTATTTTGAAAGAGGAGAAAAAGAAGCCACAGAAATTAACCCCACGTGAGAGTTAATAAGGAGAGCACAAATAAATAAAACAAGAGAATATATCGGCAAACATGGTTCATTTCAGCGGAAAAAGAAAAAGGAAGAGGAAATCGCAAAGCACGCCATGAAACGAAATAGAGAAAATAAAATAAATATCAAATAGGAAGAACAGGAAAGATAAAATACGGCACTTTTCTAGTCCAGGCTGGCTAAATTAACTTGCCTTAGGCGTTGGCTAAGAATGTCACCTCCTTTGCACTTAACAAAAGAAAAGGATGGCTAACGCATTGCTGTCCTATTTTTCGAATTTTATACGCCTCAAATACCTCTCGGGTAGTCCGATCTTCAAATTCCCTGAGTGTAGTTGTGTCAATGAAGGTAGGTGCGCACTGGCAGGTGAGAGATTGTTTAGGCAGGGTTTAGGCAGGCGTGAAGGGAATAAAAATTATTTCTAAGCCGGTCTTTGAGGCATCTTTCAGTCTGTACTATGGAGCAACCACCACACCTAAGGGGGATCTTGTAAACTGCAGCTTGCGTGCAGGAAACAAACTTGCTATTGCATTCTTAGTGGCAAGCGGTTTGTAAACGATTTCACATTACAAAGCTCATCTTTGCACAGGTCTTAAATAAATTTTGGGGGTAAAAAACACCACTGGGTCATCTTACCTGTTGGCTATACGTTTAAAATTGCGGGCACTGTGTGCAGGCACGGGACTTCTACTGGGCGCTTTCTTAAAGTATTTTGCCTGGTGCTGCTAATCCCTTTAACATCCTTCAACAAGGATTCCATTACCTCTGTTAGGACTGCCAGAGGAAAACCAAATTCCTTAATGCGTTCAAGCTGAGATCTAGAACTGTCCTTAACGGCGTGAATACGTGACTTTGCCAGGGGTAGAGCCTAGAATGTAGATGGCTATACCACTTTTGACAATCTTAGAATGATAGAAAGTGTAAGGCGAAATGTCTTTCTTTTACAGAGGAGAAAATACCAGCATAGGTGATTGACTTGTGCCGACAACGATAAATCTAAAAACATGCAGGTTCCCGTCCTTCGGTTTCTCAAACGTAAACTTTAGACCTGAAGCGCACTTTGCAAAAGTTTCCAATGCTAGATTTCCAACATATGACTTTATTTTGATGCTGCAATGTTTTGCTGAGATGAATCTTGATAAGATAACAAGGCGTAAGCTTTTGAATAAGTAACCAATATGAACTTCTTGGTACCGGTTTTGCAGTGACGGGAATCGAATATTTGCAAACTCTTTTTTCGCAAATTTGCATGTCTGTTTTTTTTTCTGTGTATTACGTGTATGAAAATATATTTAACGTTTGAGCCAAAAAAATAGGACACAGATGAAGCCATTAGTTAAAATGAGCTTCAAAAGCAGGAATCAAACAGTAATTTACACGTGGCGACTAAAAACTAATTGTACTTCTAAAGAAAAAAAAACTCCCCCTTGGTTTACTAAGTTGTTCCTAAAATATTATTAGCGCAAAAAACTGCGGTTAATCGTCAGGTATATGTAAACAAAAGTTTCCAATTTCTGTGTTTTATTGGTATGTTGATATCAGTGTAATATTATTAATGCAATTTTAACATTGACGACCAATGCTGTTAAAATAAGCTCGCGAAAAAAAGGCAACGGTTGAATATTATACTTTGTTGGTGAATTAGAGCCATAATATTTTCCAACCATACAGAGTGGCTTCTTTTTTATCTCAATAGCATCGTTCACTCACAGTAATTTCATTCAGTGTTCAATCACTATTGAATCAATACCGAGACTTCACCCTTCGGGTGTCACAAAGACGCTTTTAGGAAAACCGAGAATACAGTGGAAAACGGTTCCCACTAAATTTGGTGCAAAACGTCTCTCCGCCAAGTTTATTGAGAGCACTAGAATCGGTGCATAATTGTCGCAATTCGTATCATGTCATGTCTCACACCATGTCGCGAGGGTGGAGCCCCAGCACATGTTGTTGATAAACATAATAAATAACTCAGCAAGAAAAGGTTTAGGAATGCTATTGGATTACAACACTTATGGTAGTGGCCAAAAAGATAACACACATTTAGAAAAAAATATTGTTTTAATATTACCTTACCACACTCTCTTGAAAGGATTTCCCTTTGTTTGCACTTAGACATCGTACACAGAACCCCTCAGAATGCGGGAAGCAACGGGGGACGAGGGGCGAAATCACAAAATATGTGGCCTACACTTGAGGCGACTGAACCCCCTGCTTTCGAGAAAAGTTAGCAGTGAACTTCCTTAGGCTTCAAAGCGCCTCTTATTTTCGTCTTCTTTTTCTGCTGGACGCTTTCCGGAAGTAAGAATTTCGCAGACCCGACCACACCCTAGTTAGCAGTGTCAAGGTACGGTCAGATTTTTTAACAGCCTCCCTCTTCTCGAGGCATTTCCTTCTTGCAGACCTATGACGTGCTGGGCTCTCTGCGCTGCCGAGCATCTGTCATGAAAGCAGGTCATTAACCTATAAAAAATCACCTAAAATTGCAACAAAAAACCCAGCAAATATTTACTATTTGACAGCCGGTTACAAGAAAAGTGTCATTATCAACAATTATTTGTTTTTGTAAACCCAAAACAGGTATTCGGTGTCTTACCTATAACATTATACGCATAACAAAGGAAAACAAGAAGACCGGCATCTTTTAATTCCGCATTACCAGCATCCATCTCTTGTATGGTTCTTTGAACCTCTCCCGTCAACGTGTTACTGTAATCTCTCGCAGCTGTATTGAGTTGGGATTCTTCGCGCAAGGAAGGGAAAGAAAGCGGGAGGACTTACTGAGTTTGAAAAAGTTTTCCAGGTCCTGCTCGTTACACTCGTGCTCAACGCAGAGACCAATTCTGACACCGTGGACTCTCTTGCCTTGTTGATATCTTGCAAACACGGGTGTCTGAAAAAAAAGATATAATAAAACCGCAAAGTGTAAACGTTCCTTCCAACACGGACCCGACGCTTTGGGAGTGAAACAATAATATCTTAAGAGAAAGGACTTCCACTGAAAAAACGATCACCACTTTGGCTAGCATCTTAGCTCTACTTTTTTTTTTAAAGATTTACAAGAAAAAATATACTTTGTGGTAGGTCGTACATTTCTGCGCACATGTATCTGTTTTTGTTTTATTTTGTCCAAGCTTCTCAATTTAAGTTTCATAAATCTTGCCATTGAATTTTGGTGTATCCATTTGGTTTTTGTTTTTTTCTTCGCGGTGTCCTGATCATGTAATAAAGTTTATTAGGTAAGAGGTTGTTATGATTCGCGCTTATATCTATTTCTAGACCATCATTGATATAGATAGCTTGTTCAACATCCTGAGATAACCATGCTAACTGTCTTATTTTAAGATCTACCATTGTTTTAAGGTATATAGATCTCTACACTTTTTCACGCTCAGCCATGGTAAAAAGAAATAAAAACACCGGTGCCTGCGCCATTTCGAGCCTGCGGAGCAGTTCAGTAGAACTTGATTTACATCTCCGTTTTTTCGCCGTGAAATTACGTTCACTCTTCATTCACTACTTGCAACGCGACACTCTCCGATTTATCTGTAGGCGCACTTTTGCTGTTGTAGCGCTTTATTATTTAGACGTTGTCACCTAACCCCGGAAACAAAAGAACGCAAAATTGAACGTTATCATCTCCAGTGCAGAGCGATTTTACGGCCTGAATTAGGGTTTCAATCAACGGGGGATGACTTTCATTGCAACCCAATGACAGCGTTGATAGTACAAAATCCACGCCCCTTCCAAACTAAATTAACATGGATTCAATGAAATGACTAAGAAGAATTCGTGAAGAAAATACTCAGGTCGTGAGTGTGCACGATCAGTCACCGGAAAGCCGGGCGCTACTAGTAAAGACAGGCATCCCTCGTACCCTGCCACTCAAGTGCGCAGCGCAAAGGCAGTGCCGTTGCCGGTGAATAACAAAAATGAGAAGTGTCGCGATAAATAATAATAAAAAAGTCGGTCCTGTGGTTGAAACGCTCCCGATCTGCCGCTTTGAGGCATCCTACGCATCCCTCGGTCGTCGCTCTGTTAGCATTTATTTTGACCACGGCTGAATGTGACGCTGAATTTTGGTAGATGCAACTTCCACCAGAGATGCAGCGCCACCAAACGCTCACTAGATGAACGGCGTGTCGCTGGAAAGATCCGCCTTTCCCACCCTTGACCCCATGACCTCTGCACGAATAACAGAGCGCTCTACAGACTGAGATAACTGGGAACTAGCCACCAGTTCAGCGAAAGGATGTTAGCAGTCACCATTAGTCTTGATCGTACACATCACAAGGGGTGGTTATGTCTTTAAATGGTCATCTGTTGACAGTTTAACGGGAGTCTTAATGTGGAGTATATTTACGGAAGAGTAAATTCTTAGCTTATGACGTTGATTCTTGCCACGCGCCTTGCTTTGCCTTTCAACACACCTGGTGAACTTTGAACACTTCTAGAGCACCCATAGAGCTAAACGACAGCAGGAAGACTCGCATGGTCTCAAAGTATTCACTGCATTGCATGACAGCTAAAGCAGTAACAAACAAAAAGCCTTCCATAAATGTTTTGTATTATGAAAGTTCAATGAATGCACAGGAACGTCGAACAGCGCGCCCGCATGTAATGTTTACAATGTTATTTGCATCACCAAAACTAAAGCATGCATGACCGAACGCTTAGTCTCTACCCAAAATTAACCCTGCTCACCTAGGCCAGCTGCCAATGTTGCAATCCTTATCGTTATCTGATCTGAAATACACTGACTTTATAAAATTTTCTATGGGTAAATCAAACCCATTCCCGGTAGAGGACGCCATTCATCTCTGTGTATTCGTTTGTTTTTCGTCAGCCACCATTTTTCCATTAAAAACTCGCGTATGACATTATAATTCATGGCTAAATATACACGTCGTGAACTACTAGATCATATGGCATCCCTACATATTGGTGTCTCGTCCATAAATGAAAGTGGTATACTGATCATAAAGAAAGAGCGTACCTGAGCTCTATAATTGATATGCTTTTACTATCGATTTTCGTTTTATATTGCCTTGTCTTGATTGAAATTAGGGCTACCGAGATCTGGTCCAGCTGCATAAAATCAGCATTCTCTTTGCGTGCCCCGCATCGCTCGCGTTGAAAATAAGCCATATTCAAAGTGTCAATCGAATCAAAAGTTCGTAAATGTTGTTATCTAAATTTGGACCGTTCGTGCCAAATTTTGACGGAAACAGCAATTGGCGATTAGTAGATTGTTTTACAGTAGGGCAGCAACATGTATTTGATTCCAAAGGCTCACTCTAATGCATATCGAAATCCGGAGGATTACACAATCTGCGTGAGCAGATCCTAAAATATACAAGGACAGGCAACAACATGTTGAAGGTTCGGCGTGCATGCAGAATGACACTTTAGAGAGGAACCTGCATTGATATATTTTCAATACCTTTTTCCTTTTGAGATATATATTACTGACAATGATGATTTACTACTGAGTTACTTGATGTGGTGATAACTTTAAGGGAAAAAAATCCTGAGTTCTACGACAACGTTTTATCTACACAAGATGTGCTCCTTCCAATAACAGGGAACAGTAATCGCGTTTTCATGAACACTGAACTTTTATATAAGTATGCTCCTTAAAGTGAAGCTGAACGACGTATTTAAAAAATGAAAGCCGTTTACAACTCCCTGTAACGCCAAATTAGAGCGCAGCTCTTGAGGAGGAGGAGGGAAGGGTACTGGGGGGGTGGGTCAAGTGACCTCAAGGGGCGGGGGGTCACGTGACCTTGGGGGTCACGTGACCTTGGGGCGTCACGTGACGTGGGGGGGTCACGTGACCTGGGGCCACGTGACGATGCCGATGACGTCATCAGTGACGTGACCTGGGTAACCATCGTGACCCTCGTGAGGGTAACCCTATGTAACCCTTGTGAGGGCAACTCTCGTGACCCTCGTGAGGGTAACTCTCGTGACCCTCGTGAGGGTAACTCTCGTGACCCTCGTGAGGGTAACTCTCATAACCCTCGTGACCCTCGTGAGGGTAACCCTCGTGAAGGTAACCCTTTTGAGGGTAACTAACCCTCGTAACCCTCGTGAGGGTTACGAGGGTAAGTAACCCTCGTGAGGGTAACCCTTTTGAGGGTAACTAACCCTCGTAACCCTCGTGAGGGTTACGAGGGTAAGTAACCCTCGTGAGGGTAACCCTCGTGAGGGTAACCCTCGTGAAGGTAACCCTTTTGAGGGTAACTAACGCTCGTAACCCTCGTGAGGGTTACGAGGGTAAGTAACCCTCGTGGCCCTCGTGATCCTCGTGAGGGTAACCCTCATGAGATTAACCCTCGTAACCCTCGTAACCCTCACGAGGGTTACGAGGGTTGCGGTTACGCCGACGGCTACGCCGACGGCGGCGCCGACGCCGACGCTCCTCAAGCCGGGAACGGGCCCCTAAGAGCTGCGCTCTAAAAAAGAAAGTAAGATAGAGGTCACTTTTAGCGTAGTTTTAGCTCGTGAATCTGAATATCATGTTCGCTTTCCCCAAGGATCTTAATAAACGCATGACAACACAAAAACCCTCCGACCAGTCATTACGTATTAAGAGGACCTTTCGGCCGCCAAGCGAGTGTCGCTCAAGGGCCGCTCGAGCAATCGCAAGCTTGCCAGGTGTATTCCCCCGCTCCGGAACGAGTCGTGACGTTCTTTTCTGCCATTTTTAAAAATAGCAAGAGTGCTTGTGAATAGCTTGAATAGGCGCTGAAGATGCGCGAGATTGTGAAATCCGAAAACTCTTTTTGTGAAGTCACGCTCCGGAAAGGAGGGTCTTCAGCGCTACTTTGAAAATAATTTTCTGTACCTCCATGCACAAAACTAACAAAAAAAAAAAAAAAAACTCGATATTTGATTTTTTGGAGGTCGAATGAAGGAAATTTAAGGGTGTTTCCTCAAAAACAAAACCGCTTCAGCTTTTCTTTCGTAACACACGTATACAATTTTCTTTAAGCCATATTTCCATTTTAGAGCAGGTTGTGCGTCGCAAGGTACTTCTGTTGTTATTTTGTAAACATACGGCGAGAAATGGAGGGAGAGGACGTGGCGAAAACGCGCAAATACGTCGGAAGACCGAGATATTGTTACACTAATTGGTGCATAGACGCAAATGGTAGCTGCCTTTGTCTCTTTCACTTCTTGAACCGGATCGAACGCCGAATGCCGGCGTGTGGTGTTCGGTGTTCGCGTCCGAACGCCCTCGAAGAGTGAGTAGAGACACTGAGTATCCACTGATCATTCCAAGCAGATCTCAGTGTACTGTAATCTCCGCTCGCCTTGGTTTCTTTCTTTACTTCAATTTATTGTCGTAGTCTAAGACTTGCTTCTATTGGGAGACGTTAAAGGCATACAAAAGCGAAATTTGGATTTCTGCAACTAGGGCTGCAAGCGCGTTGAACGGGACCCTACGAACTCCAAAACCTCCCTCATACATCGATATCTTAAACGGATGGCCGTACTTTTGGACAAGAAGGGCGCGATCAAGTGACTACTATGGCGTCATTGTCACCCTGGAAAATTTGAAAATACGGAGCAGTCCTCGCTTCTCTCTTCCTCGCTTCAGTTCACAAGCTCGAAGGGCGGTAGGGAGGCGCAGAGGGAATGAGAATGGTGTCGTGGATTGTCTCGTCGGCCTCGTCGGCCGTGTTCAATAGTGCACTTCGGTTCAAAAAATGCGGCGATCCGTTAGAGATATCGATGTATGAGTGATATTTATGGGTTTTTCACCGTCCAGCCCTTCAGCTTGTGAATGGGTCCGCTGGACTAGCAACGTTTAATAATGCCCCTTTTTTTTTCCTTTCCTGCTAATTCTTGATTCCGGTTTACCCTTTTTTTACATTAAATTAGATT